TAACATAGGCTGCGAACATAGTAGCGATCGGGTCGTTGCCTATTGTGGCCACGGCTACCACTTTGGCCGCGTTGTCGATATAATAGGCCACGAATTTGAGTTGCAATACATCGCCGTCTATTATCACATCTTTGAATCCCTCGTTATTTCCTTAAATTTGAAACAAAACTAGAAATACAATCGATTGAAACGATTAAATGAATGAAAAAACCTGCAAAACGAAGTCCTTTGCCAAAAAACATGGACCAAAAGAATGGGACGGACTTTAGTTTAGATGTCTTTCCTAACATACTTAGAGCCGCAGTTTTGCCTGTAATTGTAATTCATTTATGTATTATTTGATTGGCCAACAAATAGGTGCCGATTCTGTATAAATACCATGTGATTGTGCGGTTTGCCAGTGGCCGACATTCACCACACTTTGATTGACAATCGACAGCTCATAGCGAACCACATCTCCGCCGGCGAACACATTCTTTTCGGACGTTTCAAAGTGTTTGTCGACAACGATATATGATTTATCCATTTTAATGTCAGTTCCCTTCAGAAAATCAGTGTTGGGTTCACCGCCTGAACAAAATGTTGCATTAATATGTGATAATCTTATGATAAAATTAGGTACGAATTACCGATTCCAACGACACAGATATCTGCGGGCAATGTCTGGCCATTTGTCAGTACTATTTGTTTCAATTGATTATTTTCGCCGACAAACTCTTTAACTCCAGATTCGGTGAAAAATTTAATTCCTTTTAATTCGTAGAGCTATTGAATGGAGAGAAACAGCTCTTAAAATAAGTGAAAACACATTAATCTTACAATGAATTCACACTTCTTTGATTTGTTCGCCGATTTCTTTACCCAACGTTAAAGCGAAGGGGTATTTACTTTTGCCGATCACTGCTATGGTCTTAGCCTTTCCGTTGAGAAACGCCGCCACTTCCATACCTATCAGTAAATTGTTATAATTATTTACTTAGATTTGACACAAATAACAAATTAAACCGATAAATGAAGTGCCAATTATGATCACGTTCTTCTCGTTTGCATTCTGTGCAATATAGTTGGCGTCGGAATGGGTTCGCAGATAACAGATATTCTTCAACTCATTTCCCTTCGCCTCATATATTTTTGGTCTAAATAAAGTTTTATGTAATAAATAGTCAATAAGAAATAGCACATATTAATCGTTTATAAAAATATATACACAAACCTAACACCGGTTCCCAAGAATATTCTGTCAAACTTAAGAGTGAGTCCGTTGTTGAGTTGAACTGATTTCTCTTTAGGGTTCAACTTATCGACAGTTGTCTTGAGAATCACTTCAATGTTAGCGTCTTTTAAATATTGCTCAGACCGGAGAAGAAGATCCGCCACTTTAGTGCTCAAAGCCTTTCATTCAAATAATCAAAATATTACGCAAAATGAAGACAAAAAAGTGTAATAATTATTCAAACTTTGCTTAATTTGGTCCTATCGTACGGATAGGTGTCTTCACTGGTGATAATCACAACCCGACCCGTGAAACCCTCTTGTCGTAAGGTTTCGGCGCATTGGAAACCCGCCGGTCCTTAGGTTGACATTGACTTCAATTATATTGATTAACATTAGTTTTACTTTCAATGCAAACCTCCGCCGACGACCACAAAAGTGAGGACATTGTTCGGGTCTTTAGCGCTAAAACTCTTCACTCGAGTACTATTAGTCAAAGCGGTTCTCTTGGCCTTAACGATCACATCCTCGCCTTTTATTAACACCTAATTCACACAATCGATGCTTGAATTAGTTATCGTTGTTTTTAAAGACAAGTAGTGATGGAAACCTCGTGGACAGGAATGCTATCACATCCGGGGAAGTCTTCAATATCACCGGTTTTAATACAGAAAGTGGCGGCGTGCCATGGACATGATATCTGCGAGCCATACAATACACCTAACAATGTAAATGTGGTCAACAGTTGATACAAACTATTGTAATGTGAAACCAAATGTTGGGATACCGTTGGCGAGAGGGGCGCCGTAATGACTACATTTGGGTCCAATGGCCCGAAACTGGTTGTCCTGTTTGATGAGAAGTACTTTCCCCTCTTCACCCAAATCGACCACTTTTTTCCTATAATTCAATAGACAATTGAAGATTAAATTGAATACAATTGTGAAGTATATTGTAATACAAACTCGTTATTTTGTAAATCACTTGTTTTGCAAACTTTTTGCTC